ATGTATTAATATATATATTTTTTAATTATTGAAACTGTATATTTTCCTCACTTGTTGTGCCAAATTGCAGTAGTACTGTGTGTTCTGATGACCTTATAGGGCCCATATTTCCTTATTTTCTGATCGATGTTATACTATTGTTTCCTCCTCAAAAACAGACCTGTTGTTGTGTTTTGTTTCATTCACATCTGTTTGCATAATCCTGTTTTTTTAGTCTATGTTTCCGAAGCTCAAATGGAGGTAACAACATTATAACACGGCTTAAAGCACAAGAATCAATTTATGTAAGGACCTTCAACTCTTCAACAGGAATGTATGGGAAAAAAGAGTTCAACAGTTCTAAACCAGGTCAAAACTAGAATCTAGTGTACACAAACAGGACCAGGTCTAAACCAGGTCTAAACCAGGACTAAACCAGGACTAAACCAGGACTAAACCAGGACTAAACCAGGACTAAACTAAGACTAAAACAGAACTAAACACGGACTAAACCCAGGTCTAAGTCAGGACTAAAGTAGGACTAAAACAGAACTAAACAGTATTAAGTATTAATCAGTCCTATGTATCTAAACCATGTCTAAATCAGGACTAAACCAGGGCTAAACCAAGACTAAACAAGGACTAAATGAGGACTAACCCAGGTATTATTCAGACCCAAACATAACAAAACTAGGTCTAAATCAGGACTAAACCAAGACTAAAACTGAACTAAACAAGAACTAAACCAGGACTAACCCAAGTATTATTCAGACCTAAACAGGACTGAACCAGGACTAAACCAAGACTAAACCGAGACTGAACCAGGTCTAAACGAGGACTAAACCAGGACTAAACCAGAACTGAACCAGGTCTGAACCAGGTCTAAATCAGGACTAAGCATGAACCAACCCAGGTATGATTCAGGCCTAAACATATCTAAACCAGGACTAAACTGAGACTGAACCAGGTCTAAACGAGGACTAAATCAGGACTGAACCAGGACTGAACCAGGACTGAACCAGGACTGAACCAGGACTGAACCAGGACTGAATCAGGACTGAATCAGGACTGAGCCAGGACTGAACCAGAACTGAACCAGGTCTAAAACAGGACTAAACTAAAACTAAAACAGAACTAAACATGAACTAAACCAGGACTAACCCTGGTATTAATCAGACCTAAACCAGGACTAAACCAGGACTAAACCTGGTGTTATTCAGACCTAAACGGGACTAAACCAGGTCTGGAGCAGGTCTGGAGCAGGTCTGGAGTGCTCGTGCTGTCATCCTCTACAGCCCTTCTCCTCCACACCTCATGCCCTGTGAACCCGGCTCTGTGATTGGCTGCTTCCGATTGGTTCGCGGTGATTGGAGGAATGTGATTGGAGGATCGCGGTGATTCATGCGCGTGTTACTTCGCGGTTACGTAACGGGAGTCTGCACAGAAACACCCCAGGACTGAAGGGATGTTCACCACAGACGCACGAGGCTGGAGTGTGGCGCCATCTGCTGGACACGAGCGGAACAACAAGGCGACACCAAGAACTCAACAAGGACTGAAATGTCTGGATGAGTCAGGACCAGAGGACAGGAGAGTGTTGGGAAGGTGACTTTTAAAATGTATTCCCCTCAGATTACAGATTACATACACCAAAATGTACTTTGTAACAGAATCCATTCAGTTACTTAAGGTGAGTAACGTAATCTGAATACTTTGGATTACTTGATTTGCTGTAGAGAAGCAAAGACCAGGATATTGTAAAATAAGATGTTTTATCTGCTAAAAGAAAATAAAAAGCCCAGACTTTACTGAACCAAATTAAAAATATTATTGATAAAAGAGGAGGAGACACGGTCCACATGATTTAGTCCTGGTTTAGTCCTGGTTTAGTCCTGGTTTGGACCTGGTTTATTCCCGGTTTAGTCCTGGTTTAGTCCTGGATTAGACCCGGATTAGACCCGGTTTAAACCTGGTTTTAGTCTTGGTTTAGACTTGGTTTAGACCTAGTTTAGAGCTGGTTTGGACCTGGTTTAGACGTGGTTTGGACCTGGTTTAGATCTGGTTTTAGTCCTGGTTTAGACCTGGTTTAGACCTGGTTTTAGACCTGGTTTTAGACCTGGTTTAGTGTTCGGCAATGAGTGGAATTACTGGAAAGAAAAAAAAGAAAAAAGGGATATAGCTTGAAATGTGAAAACTGGAAAATACCGCCGTGTAATCCATTTATTTCATCAATGTAACTGTAATCCAATTACCATTGAAACAGTAACTGTAACTGAATACAGTTACTCATAATTTGTACTCTGATTATGTAACTCTGGTACATGTAATCTGTTCCTCCCCAACACTGAGTGAGGAGAGGAGCTAAAAACTGTACTGAGCGTTACTTCAAAACAGAGAAAAGTACTGGTCAAGTAAGTCAACTAACAGTTACCTAATTTGGAGGACAATACTTGAAATAATACACAAAATCTGTATTTTTCAAAGGACAGACACAAAAACAAGACAAACTGCAAATGACAAAAAACACAAATGTTCAAATCATTTCACATTGTCCCATAAAGATTTTGTCTTCGTGGGAAGAGGAACTACAACTTAACTCAAGTGAGAGTACTTGTACTTCAAATAAGCATCAAAATATTATTCAAGGAGTAAAATATGTGGCTAGAAATACTCTGAAAACTACATCCATCCATTCATTCAGGTGTTCCCAGGTTATCTGAGAGACCTGGTCCCTCTAGTGTGTCCTGGGTCGTCCCAGGGTCTTTCTCCCGGTGGGACATGAACACCTCCCGAGGGAGGTGCCAACTACAATGACTACACTACAAAAACTACTATTTCTTTTAAAAGTTACTTAAAGGGTCCACATTACGCTTTTTCTGATCTATATTGTTTCTCTGTTTCCTTGTCACAAACAGACCTGGAGTTGTGTTTTGTTTCATTCACACGTTTAACACCTGCACATTTAGGCAGAATTTTTCACTCTGTTCCACCTTGTGATGTCATGTAGTAATACATCAAATGCTCCACTGTGTTTTTAAACACCCACACCTTCACTAGAATCATTTAGATCATCATTTCCTGAAGACTGGGTCGTGACCCTCAGGTGGGTCGCAAGAGATTTTTTTTGGGTCTCCTTGGCAGGATCTGCATGTAGATCTGAAATACAGTATACAGTTGTACATGGATCTGTGACCTTATCATAATTCTGGATCAGCATTTGGTCAGAATATCTTATCCTCAGTAGGGTCAGTATTTCTCTGCTTATTCCTTTCATTACTACATATATTTGTGTGAAAGACAAAACACAGAAACAGACTGAAGCTGCTCCTGATCTGCAGCTGCGTCTCCTCCTGCAGCCGGACTGAACACACTACAAAAACACACACAGACCAAACTATCTCACTAGAAATGTTCAGATGTTAAGACATGTTTTGTATTATTTCGAATTTCTTTGTAATTATTGTATTGATTATTTTGTTCCAGTATTACTGGTTCATTTGAATGTTGAAAAGAAAAATAAATGTTTTACATTTAATGTCCAAATAGTTGACTTCTGGATCCTTTTATTGCTGCTTCAGTGACTGTTTTTCATTGTTTTAAACTTGAGTCATACTAATTGTTCAGAGACACACGATCAAACTATCCTCATTAATGTTCAATAATGGTCAAATCCACCTTTATTTTGTGATTCATGAAGAATGTCTATTGACTTGGGTCGCAAAGATTTGTGACTTTTAAAATATGGGTCACCAGAAAAAAGAAACACTGATTTAGATAATTCAAACCTTGGAATTGCAAAACTCTACTGAACAAAATGTAAAAAGTATCTGCTCACTGAAAACTACCACTTCAGATGGAACAGAACATTCTGAGCTTTGGAGATGTAGCTTACTCAAACATGTCTGAAAACAAAACACAACTTCAGGTCTGTTTTTGAGGAGGCAACAACATTATTACATGGATTAAAGCTCATAAGAGTCAATTTTTTGTAATATAGGACTTTAAGTAAATGTAACTGAGTACTATCCACATTTGGCCATGGATTAAACCAGGTAAATATTAAGTTGGTCACAGTAGAACCTCTGTAGTTTAAACTGAGCTGGAGACGGGTGAATCGTCAGGTGGAGTCTGCTGTGGAACCGTCAGATGTAGATTTGTTGACCTGGTTTATGGTTCATATCTCTGTCATTACTGAATCAATGAAACCGGTGCAAAGTCCAACATCTTCTCTGTCAGTATAAATAACCTAAAGTGAAATTATGAGTTCACAACAGCTTCAGAAAGTGGTGCCATTATTCAACCCCAAAGACGTGAAAGGACTTTAAACCTTTAAGACTTTAAGTTTGTGGAGCTAAACCCAAACAAATAAAGAGAAATTTCTACATTTGTGGATCAGAAGTTTGGAGATTTCTTTGAAAAACACTGAATCTCCTGCAGAGTTCTATAAGCCCCTCCCCTCCATCTGAAATCATGACATCATCAGCATGTAAAATATTCATTAGAGCATTTAAAACAACAGAATTCACACGTGTATTTATTTTTTTGCTGAAAGAGTTTTTATTCGTCCGGGTTTGTTTCATTCACACGACACATCACTTCACTGTGCTTCTGTACAGGCAACGATCTGAAACCATGACACGAAAAGCCAAAAACACCGTCCAAAATCTCCAACTACTCGCACGTTAAAGGCGACTGAAGAGAAGAGAAGACACCGGTGGAGGAGAAAATAGAGAGACATGTCCAAGGATTTCTATCAGCAGCGAAGAAGCGAAATCAAACGAAACTTAAACGGTGCGTCGTGTAACTTTTCTGGAGAAGAGTCCGTCGAATGCTTTTCTTTATGGAGCTTTGTCTGGAATGTTTCACAGTATGATGTTTTTAAACCTTTCTATCATCATCGAGACCAAATCAGACCATTACAGGCCAGATCTGTGGAGAGGCAACCCTACTCAGGGTCAGAATAGCTGTTTTTGTAAGTATTTTTGAGCTATAAACCCACCTGTAATTGAATAAATGTAAAGTAGAGCTGTTTAATGTCACATGACCCTTAACCGAAAAGTTACATAATGCACCTTTAAACTCAAATAAAAGTGCATTAGTTGAAAATTTACAGATATAAACACATTTGTTGCATTTGTTTACTTCTAATTGTCCGTTCGGTTTCATTAAATACAGCAGTGCACACTCGAAACAGGAGCTGAGGAGGACCACGCCATCACAATGTTCAATACTGATTTAAAGATGTAATGTGGAACTTCTTTGAACCAACACCTGCTTGTCCACATGGAGATTAAGGGATTATGTTTTTCTTTTCATTTTCATTGTTTTAATTTGCTTTATTCATTTAAGATTAATATGAAATAATGACGAAGCAGAAGAGAATCTCGTGGCCAGAGCGACTTCTCAAAGTCTGATCTCGTCAGATCTCAGAAGTTCAGTAAAGCCAGGTCTGGTTAGGACTTTGATAGGAGGCTGCTGGGAAAATCAGGTGCCACGGTGGGGCGACAGTCACAAAAACTGTCGTCATGTGCTTAGGCAAGACACTTGGCACTTAGCTGTGGTTACAGTAATAGTTTGCCACCACCGAATATGGAGTGAGTGAATAATGCTCTGTAAAATGTCTTTGAGTGTCCAAAAGTGCTGTATAAAACCGATACATTAATAATAATAATAATATTATTATTATTATTAAATCTAGACTTGTAATATCTGCTCCTTTAGGTTATTACTTTGACTAGTATGTTCTATAATGTGACATTAAGCTTAATTATGTCACTGCAGACAACAGCTGACACAGCCAAACCAAGTTACAGGTCGGATCTGTGCAGAGGCAAGCCCGCTGATAGTAATTTAATGTTTTTCAAGGTTCATCTTTCTAACATAGCAACTCAATGCAGTATAGACAGATCAGGAGTCTCCGACCTGTAGCTCTCCACCCCCTTTTAAGTAGCTCACCAAAGGATTTCTGAAGTACACAAATTGATTTGATGAACCACCATTCTAAATGTATAATCCTGATGTCTTTGTGCACTAATAAATGGATAAAGGTTTATATTTTATAGATATCTAACTTTGCCCCATCTAAGGCTTTCCTATGCCGTTTCTTGTGACCACTAAAATGAGAAGCTCTTTGGCATTTTCTTTTTGCACATGTAAAAGGTTGAAGACCCCTGAGGTCGATATTCTCCATGGAGACGAGCAGGTGGCAGAAGATCCCACATTTGCACGTTAAAGTGTACAAATGAAAAGTATATATATTAAAAAAAAAAAAAAAAAACATGACGTAAACAAACAAAAGTAGAGCTTATAATACAGATTTGACCCTTCCTTCAGTGTCTCAGGCAGGACACCCAGACACGGGGAGAACATGCAAAACCCCATGACCACCTCATACTGACAACATTTCAAAACTATACTGAAAATAATCCATTAGTGTTGTTTAAATGTACAAATACATCAAGGATTTCAAAATAAAACTCAATTCACAGTTAGATTTTAGGTGGTGTTTCGTTTCTTAAAAAGTGCACGATGTAATTTTTTTGGTTGGGGTTCCGTCACCTGCTCGTTTCTATGGATACGTCATTGCTCTGCCTGGAATGTTCCGCAGTATGACATTAAACGGATCTACTTTTATTCAATCAGAGGTGGTTTTAAAGCTCAAAATAAGATCAAGACAAGATCTGACCTGTAACTTGGTCTGGTTTAGTTTCCATGAAGATAGAAAGGTTTAATGCCATACTCTGAAACATTCCAGACAAAGTAATAACATCTCCACTGAGAAAAGCATTTGACGAACCCTCCACCAGAAAAGTTACACAATGCACCTTTAAGTAAATCTAAACTGTATGGCCCTCCTCAGCTTCCTTACATACCAACAACTTTTAACTTTTATACATTTTGCATTCTCCAAAAACACAATCCCAGATATCTCAGTCTTAAATCCATCTTCTCTACAAACTTTAACTTTTAAATAAATAAAATAAAACTTTGGTGCAAGCAAAAACGTGACAGAACATTCAAAAACTACATTCAGAGATAGAGCTGGAGGAACAAAACGTGAGAAAAACCAAAAAACGTGAAGATTTTTTTGATCATTTTTCGAGATTTTAAAAAGGACTGAGGGGTCTGTAACACTGCTGGTCTGCTCCCGTTTTCTTACAAAAGTCTAGGATCAAAAATTGTAAATATTCTGTGTACAAATGCGTGTTACAATAAGAGGCAGGTTTTTGTGGCGTCTCAACTTGCATATTTTAGATAAACATAAGCGTGGTTTCTCAAATCTCAACTATTTACACACAAATTTAGTTGGAACTTTTAGTTTTGAGTTTAGTTAGTTCCCATTTCGACGAACGTGATGCAATTCATTCAGTAATTACAATCTGCAACGAGTAGAGGTGGATGACAGAACATAAGATAATACTGGAAATACTGAAATTGTACTTTTGTTGTCTGTTTGGGTTGAATAATTCGGAAAAAATTGTGATATTTTTTGACACGATTTATGTTTCACTACTAAGATTCTGTTCAAAGTTCACATTTTGTTAAAAAAATCAGAAATCTGAACTGAGAAACTAATACAAGAATCATATTTCAGAACATAAAGTAAGAAAGGAAAAACTTTGGACCACTGCAAACTATTTTGGATCGTTTCTAATGCAACATAAAGTCAACATAAAAAAATGCTGTTCTCAACTTATCCACTTAAATGTTGAAATCCTACTCAAAAAAACTGGACTCTTTACTTGTTTGTGCGTCCGAGTGTGAAAATGTTCCGTAATGACTCTATGTCTGTGGGTCTGAGAGAGAATATTCCGTAATGACCCTTTAAATTTGTGTGTGAAAATGTTCTGTAATCACTAGGGATGTAACAATAACCAAAATATCATGATATCGTATTGTCAAAGTTCTCACAGTGATATCATGGACCATCAGAATTGATCTCTTTGCTTAAATCAGGCATGTCCAAACTATGGCCCTCAGGCTTCCAAGTGAATTGGCCCAAATGACCTTGCATCGATTAAAAATTTACTTTTTACTGCACATTTGTTTGAAAATCTACCTTGATAAAGCTCATATTTAATATTTAGTGTGTGGTTTTAAAGTTCTTAATATGAATAAAGACTGATGGCTCATTCTAACGTGTTCAACATGCACATATTTTAATTATTCCCTGTATTGTGCACCAGTCTACAGCCCTCGATCAACCCTCTGCTTCGTCTGTGTTTAGATATGTGGCCCTTGATGAAAAAAGTTTGGACACCCCTGGGTTAAATGAAGAGTTATGGTGCAGCAACTGGAAAAAAGACAGAGGGAACTACATAGACCATGATCCTTTGCTCCATTTCAGTGCAAACTATAGGAAGAAATAACAGGTCTAACACTTTTAAGTCTTAGTTCTTTGGATTAAGTTCTGTCAAGACATTTTAAGAGGAAAAAGGAGAATATTAACAGTTTGTTTGCTTCCAAAAAATATCACAATAAATATCGTACTGTGAGTTGTATATCGTGAAACTATTGTATAAAGAGATTTGGATATTGTTACATCCTTAATCGTGAGCTTTCCCATGATATCACAATAAATATGGTACTGTGAGGTTCATACTGTGACGATATCGTATCGTGAGACTTGGATATCGTTACACCTCTAGTAATGACTCTTTACATCTGTGAGTGAAAATATCTCGTAATGGCTCTTCATATGTGTGGGTCTGAGAGAGAATGTATCGTACTGACTCTAAATTTGTGGGTGAAAATGTTCCGTAATGACACACAACATGTCCACAACAGCTCCTCAGATGCTCCTCAGATGTTTTTTTTTTTTCTGTTTTAAGACTGTAAAAATCAGGTCCTTTAATGTCTCCCTCCTCTATAATGCAGTTGAACAGTTAGACAAAATTATAAGTTTTTAAATGACTATTGTGTCCTTAATTTTTCACTTCAATTCTGTTCAATTTTGTTTCCATTTCTGCTTAATCAGATTCATCCACTGAAATGTATGAAACCAAAATATGCAAAGTGAGACAAAATTTCCATTCGAATTTCACCCAGATTCTTTCAAACACTGACTTCATCCGTCCTTTATGCTTTTTTTTAATCAACGCGTGGAAGCTGAAATGCACTTTATAGAATTAAAAATCTTATCTTACACCACGGTTTCAAAAATGTAATGTTAAAAGTATAACGTCTGTCCGGGGCTGTTTTGGAGATACTTTTTGCACCAGTTTTAGGTTTAAGTTATTGTCCAAATGTTCATCTTAACCAGTGTGTTTAATACTGACTCCAAAAACGTGTCATTTTTGAGAATTAGTGCAATTAAAGACTTGGTAAAAACTACAAACTAAATGTGTGTATATGGCATAGCGCTTCCTAACTGAACAGACATAGAAGTTTTGTTTTTAGAGTTATCCACAGGAGCATATGGACTTTAAAAATGCAATTTCACCAAATGAGATGATCAAATCTTTACCCATTTTCGATAAGACAATGAAAGTTGAATTTTTTTCACAGAATTTTCAAGATTTTAGAAGCATTCTGATAGTTGCTTAAAGCTGCACTATGTAACTTTTTGGTTGGAGGGTCTGTCACCTTCTTGTTTCTATGGAGATGGCATTGCTCTACCTGGAATGTTCCACAGTGTGACATTAAACAGTTCTACTTTACATTTATTCAACTATAGGCGGTTTTAAAGCTCAAAAACACCTAGAAAAACATTCTGAATGAGCGGGGTCGCCTCTCCACAGATCTGACTTGTAACTTGGTCTGGTTTAGTCTCCATGGAGATAGAAAGGTTTAAAGTAATACTCTGAAACATTCCAGACAAAGCGATAACATCTCCATGGAGAAAAGCATTTGACAAATCCTCTGCCAGAAAAGTTACATAATGCATCTTTAAATATTGCCTTCAGTGTTCAATAGGGCTAAAGTTGCACTGTGAAACATTTTTGATTCTTGTCTCCATGGAGATGTCATTGCTTTGCCTTGAAAGTTCCACAGTATGACATTAAACTTATTTTCAGGGTTCCCCCTCTTATTCACTGACACAATTTCCAAACTGATGATCATGACCTAAAGTGAATTTTCCATGACTTGTGTAGAATAGATCAGACTTTTAGAGCTAAATATGAAATGTGAACTCTTTCATTTTTAGGGATTATAGTTTTGAACATGACTGACAAATCCTGTCAGTGCATTTATTGTCCTCTCTTTTAAACAAAAGGCGCAGACGTTCAGAAATAATCAGAACAGTCTAATGAGAACTTAACAGAACACTGGAGTTGCGTGAAAGAGATACTCAAATTCCATGACTTTTCCAGGCCAGGAAAATGACGTTTTCAATTTCCATGACATTTCCAAGATTTCCATGACCCTGGATCTTACTTTAAGAATACGTGTTTTTCAAGATTTTTTTTTGTTATAAAAACACATACAAGTTGCTATCATTTATATCACGGGTGTCAAACATACGGCCCGGGGGCCAGATCCGGCCCTCCAAGACCTTTAATCTGGCCCTCAGCTGATTTTCTACTAAAATATTGTAATTATATTTTCTATTAAAATATTGTTAATTTTCTGTGGTGTTTATCACAGCAGTGTCTCCAGCGTCTCTGTACGTGGCCCCTCCCACCAGAGCAGCACAAATGAAGACTTGTCTCTTTCCAAACGCTCTTAAAGGACGATCGTTTTGACTGTTGACCGTGACACCCTCATCAGAAAAATGTCCAACATGAGAAAAGTGGAGCCAAGTGCAAGATTTTACAAGAAAAATGTTAAAACATTGTGTTGAAATTGTATTTTTCTTAAAGTTTCAGGTTGTTCATAATATTATAATATTTTGTAAAAGAAAGAGTTCATCAATTCAAAAAGATTTCTGTAATAGATTTGTGTTTCTCTGCACAAATATTTGAACTTATTGTTATTTTTGGGGTTTATATGACATGAGTTTTACTGATCCGGTCCCTTTCGGGATCAAAGTTGGTTGGATACAGCCCCCGAACCAAAATGAGTTTGACACCCCTGATTTCTATCAAAGCATATGTTTAATGCCATATTGTGGAACATTCCCAGCATACCAATGTAATCTCCATGAAGACATCATGAAGAATCCCTGCAGAAAATTTACACATCGTTCCTTTAATATTTCGCCATGTCTGATTTGACCAGGTCTGACCACAGCGCCGTCATATTTACTCTTTTAAAAATGTTAAAGAGTTAATAGTTATTCTAGAAACTGATTGCCTTGTATATCGCATAACGACGAAGTGATACTAAACAATTCAATTTCAGTTTAGAATTTTTAAATGAAGTCCAATTTTGGTTCCAAATGCTTTTTTTCAGTCCACGATGGTTTCCTGTGTAGATACTTTGCACACACACTTGTTCACAACACGACTTAGACAATCGAAAGCAGATGACAAAAATAAAGGCACAAATACCTCCTTATAACCTTGTGGAAATATTTCTAACAAAAAAATAAGTCTAAATGTCATCTTCGTTAGTGTCTGTAAGGTATATAGTCCACTTCTTTCTCTGGGGCTTCAAAATCAAACTGAAATAATGGCAGTAGCAGCAGGATTCCTCAAAATTTTCAACTACACAACTTTCAATTTAAAGGTTCGATCCATTTTAGTTTCAGACACGTCCCACGTGTACCAGGCTTCAGAGGACGAGGAGTTACAGTGGAACTGTCTTGTTGACGTTTTGCTGGCGGACGTTTTGAGAGCGAGAGATAACACTAAGGGTTTAAATCGATGCTTTTATCAAACTGCTGTTGCTGGTGACGCACGGAGATTGTAGAGAAAAATACAGCCTTTTCTTGATATCCCAAATTCAAACTATGATAAAATTGGTTTGAAAATATCTACCAATATTATTTATGCAATTTAAAGTAAGAATTTTGGACAATACAAAATAGAAAAGTGTGTTTATCTAGACAACAGAGGCCTGGGATCGATTGCTCTAATCATATATTAGAAATATTTTTAGCTCCAATGAGGGGTCCATGTCCTTTACAGAAGGTTCTGGGGGAAATTACAAAAATGTAACTGAAATCTGAATTGATTTTTCCTTGTAATTTTTCCCTTGTAGATTCAAATAAATTAGTTAATTACAATGCCCTTCACTAATGCTTAACCTATACAGTTCTCCAGCAGGACTAAACCAGGATTAAACCAGGACTAAACCAAGACTAAACCAAGACTAAACCAGGACTAAACCAGGACTAAACCAGGACTAAACCAGGACTAAACCAGGACTAGACCAGGACTGAACCAGGACTAAACCTGAATTAGACCAAGACTAAACCAGGACTAAACCTGTATTAGACCAAGACTAAACCAGGACTAAACCTGTATTAGACCAGGACTAAACCAGGACTAAACATGAATTAGACCAAGACTAAACCAGGACTAAATCTGAATTAGACCAGGACTAAACCAGGACTAAACCTGAATTAGACCAGGACTGAACCAGGATCACAAAAAACCTTTAGAATCATCCTGTTTCGACTGGATGTTCATTGCTTCTTAGGACCCAAGTTTAGTCAAATCTGAAATGTAATCCAGTGATTTCTTAGATTTTTTGTCTAAATTAAAAAAAAAAAAAATCTAAGTTTTCTAACACATTTTACTTTTCAATATTTGATCAGATATATCCAGGATTAGTGAAAGGCATTGTAACCATTTTGCTTTTCAAATCATTTTCAGTGTATTAGAACCACTCAAAGCTGATTGTAATTGTAATGAAATACTGTTATAAACTGTGATCCGTCCTATTTTCAGCGTTTTCTCATCAAAGTCTAGCAGCATCTGTCTGTCTCTAACCAGGTCAAAATAAAAAGTTGGGGAATACTCCGGGGAACGCTCCATATTGGGAGAAAAATTGACTTGTGGCGTTGTTTTTCTGAATGAGAGTTTGAAACAGGCGCGTGGTGCAGCTTTGGCAGCGGACACAGAGGAGACAGACACAGCACTCGGACAGTAGAGGGCGACAAAATCCTCCCAAACAAAAGTCAATGAGGAAACGGGGCTGCTGCAGTGCACTCTGGGAGTTGGAGTCTATTTACAAGCTGTGGAATGACCAGTGTTTGTTCAGAATGTGTTCAGAGAAATGAGATCCAGACTTTTCAGCAGGTGTGTAAGGAAAAACAGGACTGGCCATGACATACACTGTGTAGAGGACACTAAAGGGGTATTCAATAAAACAAACTTAATATAATCCAACACCGCGCTGTGCTCAATAATCAGAGTGTGAATCTTTCAGCAGGAGATTAGATCATTTTGTTCCTCGTTTGATTTTTTTCTTCTTAAAACAAGAATTTCCCTATTTTTATTTCACTGTGGTCTAATTTCTGTGCCAAATTTCCAGCACATCCCCCTTAAAATTTCCATCAAAAAAATCAAGAACTCAAAAATCAGTAAGGGAAAAATCAATTTGTACAGTTTAGAAATAAATATTGGGCATTCCAGTTCCAGTTAGGGCTATGAAAACTGCTTGTTGTTGTGTCCTTGGGCAAAACACCTGACCTACCTTACCAGTGTATATATGTGAATGTTGATATTAGGGATGGGCATGATTAGTCAATTAATCGATAACTGATCATTAAGAATTTTGTCGATAACGTTCATTTTTAATCGACAAACCAAATGTAAGTTGCTGTGCGTAGCGTAGGGGGACCAAATGTCTGTTTTTCCCCAGACATGTCTGTTTTCCACGTCCTGTCCTGTTAAATAAAGTGATGTAAATGTCCGGGTTTTCATTTCCTTTCATTGGGTCATTAAACTGAGCGTCTCTCGTAGCGTCTGTGCATCAGAAGGAGCGAGCAGACACAAACAGTCGGTCAGTCTGCAACATGCTTTCCGTCCCGGTCGAGAAAAGTGAGAGTCCATGTGCACAGTGTAAAAACAGGCACATATGTTTCGGTGTCCAATGGAGGTGTCAGGGACCTCAAAGCATCAGGACACCGAAAAACATGAAAAAGCTTTGTCAGGTGAGAGTCGCTCAATGTCGATGACGAGGCCCCACCTCCCTCCCCCCGTACGGTGTCCTGGTTTTGACAAATGCAAATATGGTCACACTAACCTGTATTCCACTGAGTCATGTCTGCATCAGTGCACAAGAGCTGTTTTTTTCTTTGCTTAGTTTATGCAAATGAGCCATGTGGCTTTAAGTTTGGTTTCTGTGAGACTTGCACAAAGCTGCATTAAACACATTCTAATGTCAAACGGGCTGATGTGGATCTAGAGTGGTTTTGGTTTATATGTAAAAAAATTAATTTATTTATGCAGATTAATAGTGCAGATAGTAATGATGATGATTTTAATAGAAAAACGTTAATGATTAATTGATAATCAATCGTTAATTCTCCCGATGACCGATTAAGAAAATTTAATCGAATGCCCATCCCTAGTTGATAGTCTGCAGGGTTATAACTAACTGCAGATTGGAAACAGATAAGGTAGCCGAATAAATTGGGTAAATTGATTAATTCCTCACATTTTTTTTTAGATGTTTAGGTCAATATCTCCTAACACACTGCATTTGTCGTGTCCTTTTCCATTTCCAGATAGCGGAGGATGGTTGCTGGTTTAACCCTCACACTGCTTACTACGTCTGTGCTTGGGCTAAACACTTGATGTACTCAAAAGTTAAAGGTGCTTTTTGGAGCTTGTTTTATTAAATACCCTTCCTTCTGTGATTCTTGGACTCATTTCTCTGCACACACTTGCATTAGTCTCTCAGTACTCCCACTCGTCCGTCTTCATGTCCAGGTAGCTCAGGATGTTCTGGGCAAACTTCACGGCCTGTTTCCTGGACACTTTGGTGGGTTCGTGTCCTTCTGGATCCACGGCGTCAAGGGCCAGGAGCTGTTTGGTCAGAAGCTCCTCCAGCATCAGGTAGCTCTTATCGGCCCGTTTCCCATCGAAGCCCAGGACCTGCGCCTGGAGCTCGGACAGGTTCCCCAGGACGGTCCACACGGCGCGGTACGCTGGGTGCTCCGCGGGGCACGGCTGTCGAAAAGTCTGAAAGAAGATGTAAGGTTATTTCAGAAGACGTAGTGATGAATTAAGTGAAGAGTTACTTCTACATACTGGATTAGTTTTATTTTATGAGCATCAGACTGAATATAAAGCATGGAGACTGTAATTAGTTACTGTATTACTGTATTTTCCAGGCTATTAGGCGCTCTGGATTATAAGACGCACTGTCATTAAATGATCTATTGTTGAACTATTTTCACAAATAAACCGCACCGGACTTTAAATGAAACCCAACAGTGTGATGGGTGAGTGGTTTTGTTTGTTTGTGGCGTTCACGGTGACTCTGGGCTTTGTTCAGTTGTGGCGTGTAGGGAGGGTGTGTCTGGGACCAACGGATTGTCGGCGTGTTCGCAGTGACTCAGTTGTGTCTAGAAGTGGCACATTGCACTCACTTTCTCAGTTCATTCCTTCATGTGGAGTGATGAGTGTGTTTGTGGGTATGTTTTGCTGTGCGGTCGCTGTCTGCTCCGTGTGTGTTTGTGTGTTCTGCGGGTGGTGTGGCTTTGTAGTTTACTGAAGTCGTGCTGGGACACCCGAGTGGATTAGTGTATAGGGCGCTCTGGATTGTGGGGTGCGCAGTCATTTGTTGATGGGGTTGGAGGTTTAAGAGTGCGTCTAATAGCCCGGAAAATAAGGTACATTAACCAAATAAAAGTAAAGTAAATAAAAAATGTGTTAGTGTATGACCTGGTTTGGGGCTCTGGGATTGAAAAGGGATTCATTCAAACAGAAGCAGTCGCTTCTTTAACCTTTCCTTTCATTCTGAGTTGGCATATCTTTACTATATCGACTTACAGTTCAGTATATAAAAGTAGGAAGATATATTTTGGGGCTCAATACTTCTCATATACAGTGAGCAGTGAGTTTGTGTATGAAAATTGAGAAGGAATTAATTCAAACAGAAGCATATTGTCCCCACTGTCCCTTCTATTCACATTCCTTTCTTTCTGAGTTGGCATATCTGTGTCTGTACGTTTTATCCTCAAATATGATTTTCTGTGAAAATATCACGTTGCAAATAGTACAGTGCATAGTTTTTTCAGTCATTCACAGACATAGCCACCTCTGTATGTGTCTGGCTCACGCATACTCCCTGGAGTTATGTCGAACCGAATGTTCCATCACATACAATCCTCATGTTAAACTATATATAAAATGTTTATTTCATGATATTTCTGTCATGTATGTGATGTTCTCAACAATAATATGTGGTCACGATCAAGTTAAACCTGGTTAGTCTTTAGCTCATTTTACAGGCTATTGAAAATGCACCAAAAGGTTCACACGCTCAACAATGACTTCTACATGCAAATGACTCTGACCTCACCTAAATGTGGTCGATGATTTGGAAGAACACCCTCTGGATTATTCATAATTTCTGTTTTTTGAGGGCTAATCCTAACAGCTTTTGGAGAAAACACTGGGGACTGGCTCTGGAGCTCTACCAACTTTCTGGACTTGATGCAGAGCGGTCGATAACATTAGCTAATGAAAGTCTATAGTGTTAGTCACCACATGTACACGTCTCACCAGCGCCTCCCTCAGGTCCAGGAAGGTGATGACGGCCTGCACCTCCAGCACTGCTCTGCGTCTGGCCTCTCGGATACAGGGGTTTTTGGCTGTGTCCACCTGGTCCAGACGGGTCACCAGACTCTGGAGCTCAGCTTTGGGTCTGAAGCTGAAGTCTCCCATGAAGCAGCTCCGAAGCACGGCCTCTCTCAGCTGGGACACATGGCCCCGCACGCCCTCGATCTCACGGATGGAGTCATTCTGAGCCAAATCATATCTGAAACACAGACAAGGGTGAGTCTGGATAAATGGCACACAACTCTGACTTAAAACACACACACAAACAAGAGAGACACACACGCAGACAGACACACACGCACACACACGCACACACAGAGACACACACAGACAGAGACACACACAGAGAGACACACAGACCTACAGACACACACACAGACACACACACACACACACACACACACACAGAGACACACACACACACACACACACATGCAGACACACACACATACAGAGACACACACACATACAGAGACACACACACAGACAGACAGACACACAGACACACATTCTGACACACACAGACACACACTCTGACACACACAGTAATTTACAGAGAAATTCTATGTGTTAAAAGTTAATCCTGTCCAGTGGGAACCTTTATGGTTCATTATTACGCTCTGGATTAAATATATTTCCTTCTGTCCCAAATCATATCTGAAGATGAGAAACAATACATTTACAATCCAAAAATATCTGTAATAACTGAGGGCAGTCTCACAATCCAAGACTTGAGCTCAGGAAAAAATGTGACTGCAGTGAAAAAATTATTTACAAATTCACTATTTTACATCTGAACTGGCAGATCCTGTTATACTTCACGATAATATGAGACAAAGTTGTCATAAATGAAACAGCGAGGTTTAGAAAACCACACCAAACATATGTTATTCTCCAGCCCTTATTAAGACACCCACCCGATTTATTTGCAGTAACTCAAATCCCTGTACACTTCTAAATGAATCCTTATAATGCACCTCCACAAATTTTCATCTCCTTAACTTTGTCATATAAATTACAAACTGCCTCATAGGGCCGGACAGTTAATTGAATTTAATAAAGATCAGGATTCAGTCATTTGGGTGTTTTTAATGGAGCCGTCTACAGCCAATTCTGTCTTTGGAAGAAATTTGAATGTTTTTTGAGTTAACTGGCACAGATAAAAAGTCAGTATTGTTTATATTTGTGAAACCGATATGAAAAAACATATACATTTTGTTTTTGAAAGATTAAGAAAAAGAAAGTGGTGGTTATTTTTATTTTTTTTCAAAATTTCTCTGTCCTAGGCCGCATCTCATTTCTCTTTTATTGCTTCCTTCTCCTTGACTCCTCTCCTCGATCCATTTTCAGCTGTCAATCAAATGTGTCATATCAAGTACTGTCCCAAAAAAAACAACGGAAGGAAGGAGTAAAGCTGAGGGAGGCTTCAGGAGGCAGACATCAGATAAAAGAATCAAACTTTACTGCTCTGAGTGAGAATTTCTCACCCATTTCCTGCAGAATCGAGGAGAGGAAACAAGGAGAAGGAATCGAGGAAAGAGAAATGAGACACTGCCCTACTGTACCTCCCTTATGCCTCAGCTCTACTGCCCCCCTCTAATGCCCCAGCCCTAGTGTCCCTCCTTTATACCCCAGCCCGATTGCACCTCCTTTATGCCCCAGCCTTACTGCCCCTCCTTTATAGCCCCATCCTTCTCCCCTTCCCTTACTACCCCTCCTTTCTGCCCCAGCCTTACCTGCGCGTGTCGTCTCCCTCCTCCTCCAGGTCCAGCTGCTTTAACAGTCCGTTGATCTCCTCCACCACCTGCTTCCTGTAGTTTCTGACCACACTGTTCCCAGACACGTCCAGGGCATCCAGCTCGACCTGCAGCTCCGTCAGGATCCGGGACAGGTGTGCACAGCTGTCCCGCCCGCTCAGACCCATCAACAGCGCCACCAACTGGCCTCTCGCCACGCTCACCTGTTCAGAGGTAAAACACATCACGGGAATGGAGCTCAGAAGTAGAAGGTTTTAAACAGGACACACTGGAGCATAAGCCATGTTTAGTATAATTATATTAAATGGTCTATTTTCGAACTTTTTTCACAAATAAACCGCACCGGACTTTAAAGGAAACCCAACAGTGTGATGGGTGAGTGGTTTTGTTTGTTTGTCACGTTCACGGTGACTCTGGGCTTTGTTCAGTTGTGGCGTGTAGGGAGGGTGTGTCTGGGACCAACGGATTGTCGGTGTGTTCGCAGTGACTCAGTTGTTCAGTTGTGTCTAGAAGTGGCACATTGCACTCGCTTTTTCGGTTCGTTCCTCCGTTCCGTTCCTCGTCGGCGTGGAGTGATGAGTGTGTCTGTGGGTGTGTTTGGCTGTGTGGTCGCTGTCTGCTCCGTGTGTGTTTGTGTGTTCTGTGGGTGGTGCAGCTTTGTAGTTTACTGAAGTCGTGCTGGGACACCCTAGTGGATTCATGTATAGGGCGCTCTGGATTGTGGGGCGCGCAGTCGTTTTTTGATCAGGTTGGAGGTTTAAGAGCGCCCCCTAATACGTATTGTGATGCGTGAGCTACTGTGTGAAGTCATTTCCCTTATAGATCAGTAAAGTTTGTGTAAAGGGCCGTTCACGCCAAAGCATCAAAAAACACCTTGATGCCTCCAAATGTATCCCGCACATGTTTCCATCAAGACCTGGTTTGAAGTAACAAACGTTGCTCTTTACTGCCAGAGCATGATCGCGCTCAACCACTTGATCTGGTCGCTGTTCCAGACGCTCCTATAACAGGTGCCATATCACTATGTCGTGTAACAAATAAACATGGTCAAACACAAAAATGCTGACAGTGACAATGACAGTGAAGACACGGACAACATTTGTGTTTGACCATGTTCATTTGTTACACGACAGCGATATGGCACCTGTTATAGGAGCGTCTGGAACAGCGACCAGATCAAGTGGTTGAGCGTGTTCATGCGCTGCAGTAAAGCGCAACGTTTGTTACTTCAAACCAGGTCTTGATGGGAACATGTTCAGGATGCATTTGGATTATTTTTCAATAGAGAAATAATACGCCACGATAAAGAAGGTTTAACGCGACAATACAGCTCTGGCAGTTTTGCGTCTCTCTATGGGAGTGAATGGAAGCGAGAGGAGGACACCCCCCCCCATGCTTCCAGGTTTGGCTCCGCCTTTACCAGTTACGCTGATCGCCAGACAATCCGGACAGGGGAGTCAGCGCTGCGCTGCACAGCATCCGGCGTCAATGGGTTAAATCATAATGGCAATTCACAAAAAACATTTAGTAATTCAGAGTTTGTGGCGCTGTGAGATGTAATTAAAGCTAAAACCAGACATGTCAAACTCAGGCCCGGGGTCCAAATTTGGCCCGCGATATAATTATATTTGGCCTGCAAGATCATATCACATCTGTATTAGAGCTGCCTGCTAGCTACAGATCGACTATAGAGACATTATTTATTTAAAATGTTATTATTTTCCATTCTGCTTGTTCTGGATTAAATGTTTAAACAAAACTATTATTAAACATTTATTTCAATCAGAAAAGATTTAACATTACATATCTCGAAAGAAGTGAAAACATGCAGATGCTGTTGACATTTTTCAATTAATATTTAGTTTGGCCCACGGCTTAGTCCCAGTTTTTAATTTTGGCACTTGGTGAATTTGAGTTTGACACCCTTGGCTAAAGTAAACAAAACCCTACTTCTGGTTTACTGACAGGTTTTTCTGCTTTTATTTCACTTCACTTAAGACTTAAAATACTTTTGGATCGTACCAGTTTGCACCAAAGCGAATCCACGGCTCTAGCTCTCTGCAGAAGGCTTAAATATATATACACATTACTCCCTCTAATTAAACCTCCGCACATAATCACCTTGACCATGATGTTGTTGATTCGGTGCACAGCTTCGTGTGTATCGTCAGACAGAGGCAGAGAGAGGGTCTGCTGGGTCCTGCCCTCGATCACCTCCTGAACCGCACACAGCCGAGTCAGAGCACGATACCGGGCTTTCCTCAGAGGGATACGCCCCTCTGTCTTCACCTGCAGAATAGATATAAAAAATTATGAAACCAAATGATATGTAATCCCAATAAAATGAGCTGGAGGACAGGACCGAAACAATAGACTAATCCACAGATAACGAATACATCTATAACATTCGTGCAAACTATAATGCCATGTGTGGAAATGACTAATGAACAGAAAACCTTCAAACAGAGGCCCTAAAGTACAAAATATGCAAATGATTCTCTTTTGCATTCCAAAATACAAAAGAGAATTGAGAATATTAACACTACAGGGAATACCCCAACAGAATGTAGTTGAACCTTATTCATTGTTTAGGATTAAATCTATAAATTTCCCATATTACTCTGGTGTAAGATAATTTCATTTAAGTCCCTAAAATGGCGCCTGTAAGAGTAAACTAATACCTATGATTTAAACTATAAGCAATTTAGAATGTTGTGGACTTTTGCTCAAGTTTTCAACCTCTAAGTTCAATGTTTGTCTACTTAACTGACTTTTTTATGTACAATTATAGTATAGTTGTAGTACTATAGCGCAGTACAGTATTGAACCTGTTGTATTACCTGTGTGAGTTTGAGCACCAGCTGCTGCAGTGCGTCCACCAGCTCGTCGTTGATTTCAGCCACTCCTCCTGACCTCTGGGGGGCGACGATCTTGTCCTCCACCAGGCTGCGTGCCTCTGTGCTCAGCTGTTCGATGGCGAGTCTGGAGGGGTGTGTGGCGTTTTCCTCCATGTACCGGAGCAAACCCTCCACCTCCTGAGCAGCGCGTTTACGAGCAGCCTGCAGGTCCGCACGGCCCTCTGTGTCCACCTGAACCAGAGGCAGATACAACTATGAGCACAGTCCTGGACACAACTATAGCATCTGTGTCCACCTGAAACTTTACAAAGGGCCACATATGGAAACATATTTGTAGCTGATAGAAACAGACTGGTGGTTAATACAGCAGGTCTTTAAGATGGTTGCATTTTACATAAGTTGGACAGAGCCACTGTACCTATTCATGGGTTTGAAGAAAACAACTGCCTTCTGTGGTAGTGATTAAACAAGTCAAATCAAAATATTATATCTTTTGACTAGGGAAAGGTCTGCACAAAGTACTACAAATGAGAAATGAATTGTTCGTCTGAAAACCCATGAATAAAAAGGGCTTGGGACACTAATTTAAGTTCTTTATCACAGCACAGTGTGATGTTATTGAGGTCACAGTTGTAGAATTAATTAAAATTGCAGCATAAAGCACTGCCTATGATCATCTGGGCCAATGTAGCAGTTGTATTTGGCCCCTGGGCCGGAGTTTGGACACTTTATACCAGCTCTACTCTACTCAGCCTTACTCGGTCTAGTTGTGTTTACATTACTCTGTAGAATCTAGAACAATATCTATGGAAAACGCCCATGACAATATGGAATCTGATAACTATGGATTCGGCAAGGACTCTGACCAATCAGAGACCAGTTTGTCAGTTTAGTATTAAAAAAGTACCTGGTACAAGTTAAGGGTAGTTAAGACAAGTGCCAAGTAATGGTGGGAAACACTCCATAAGACTCCACATTACTACATTATGATCTCCTTATTTGCAATGGTTTATTAAGTGGAGGTGGTCAGTTGGTCAGAGCAATGACTCAGACTGGCATCACTTCACTGCCCCAGGGCAACCGTGGCTACAATAGTATCTTAGCACCACTGAGTATGGAGCAAATGAATGATGCAGACACTTGTTAAGTGTATTGAAAAGCTGGAAAAGTGCTCTATATACAAACACACACAGGGAGTACAAGCACATTCCACTCAGACATCAGGAGTCTTACCCACAACCACCTCACTGAGGCTAACCACTCTGCCACTCTCACCTGGTCCACCTCCAGCTGTAGCTTGGCGAGCTCTCTCTCCAGTCTCTTGTATTCTCTGTCGTTTTGGAGCCCACTGAAGGTGCAGACGTGAGGCCCGAGCGTCGCCACCTCCCTGTGCACTTCGCCCAGTCGGATCAGGGCCGGGTGGTGCTGGACGGTGAACCCGGGTACAGTGAACCCGGGCACTGTGAACCCGGGCACCATGAAGGCGGGTACAGTGAAGCCCGGAGGAGGGGGCTGAGTCTGTGGAGGGGACTGAGGCATGCCTGGGTCCATCCGCTTCCCCCCATCAAAGGGCTTCCCAAACAGGCTGCAGAGAAACAGGGACACTCACATTAGTGTTGTCATACAAAAATTTCAAACTCGATTCAAACACGCTGAGTCACATTGTGATCATCTGACAGACGGGACAGAATCAAAACTTGACCTCTATCTGTTTCTGTGGCCTCCATCTTGACAGTAATTTGGTGGAATCTGTTCAGATTATCTTGTTAAACACCAGATCTGGACTCTGCTCACATCCCATCATGCACTGCTCTGGTCTGTGCTCCCATCCTGCACTGTTCTCTCTTATGTAAGGACCCTGTGATAGAACTGCTGATTCAATATTCTTCTCTAATGAGGATTCACACTGAAGGAGAAATACCAGTCCAAGGACAATTAGGACTTCTGCAGAAAATTATACATTTTGTCATTTTAGTTTTTACTATATTTATGACTATTTACTATTACTTTTTTAAACATTTTTTGCAAACTGCACATCAAGTTTAGTTCAATCCCACTGTGGGCTTTGCTAGATTTTCAAAATCTTTATAGGCAAGATAAATATGACAGAGTTAGCAGGACAGATATTATTATACTACTTTGTATTATATTATGTTGTAATTGCACCATTTGCAAATCAGTCTATACAATATTCTGCAGTGACGTCAGACTGGTGGGCTTCTTCTGTATGTCTATGCTGGAAAGTTCAGCAGTTACCATGGCAACCCAATGCACACATCAGAAAACAGTGCCAAAAAGTAAAAAAAAATATATAAAAAGGATTTTCAAAATGCATTTTCAGGAGCATTTTCCTATGATCAAAACGAACATTACTGGTCCCGTTTAGGTGATTTCTTACAAAAAAAGGTGAGAGTGACTAACTGAAAATCTGCATTAACTAATACTAGCCAGATTGTGACAGTGATTTTATATGAGATGGACTTTAACCACAGAAATCAGCTCATCAGTTGCACTTCAAACTAAATCAGCTCTTTCTGGTCATGTTAAAAAAAAAAAATCCCAGGTTAAATTCTAACAGAAGACTAACAGAACTTCAGACAGAGCAGTGCCTCCAGTTAGCTTCACCTCCATCAAATGTTGATGACATCTGCTGCAAATTGCTAAGTTAATTGATATACTGACTTCCCTACTCCATAACCCAATCCAAAAACATGCAACATAGGTCTCCAGGAAGAATAACTGATGGAGATGAAGATCAATTAATTACAACACAAAGCAAAAAATGACACCGATCAGAAAACAGATTTGCTGCTTGGACTGAAGGCGTTTGTTTTTCCTCTGTTGCGCTCTTCCTCTTTCTCTCTGTTCATTCTTGTTGGGAGTGAAGCTGTGGAGCGAGGCCTGGATGACTCACTGTGTTTGACCACAGCAGCTCCGCACAGGCCCATTACACAGCAGCAGCTCAGCACAATAACAAACACCACCACGCGGGGTTTATACGACCTCCGCTTTACCAGGCACAACATCGCATGGACCGCAGCAGCAGTGAAGGCCCGTAGTACACAGTTTTCTGATCTATGTCCTAATGTCGTTTCCTCATCACAAACACACCTGGACTTGTGTTTTGTTTCATGTTTAACACACAAACTCTGCATATTTACTGTGGGCTGAGTTCTTCTCTCAAACTGAAAACACTGGTCCAACTTGTGATGTCATGTGGTGATACAGGAGATGCTAATAGCTGTTAACTTGAAAACTACAACTACGTGACATCACAAGGCGGAACAGAGTATCTGGAGCTTTGGAGATGTAGACAGACTAACGATAAAGGATTACTCAAAACACAACTCCAGGTCTGTTTCTGAGGAGATAACAGCATTATAACATGACTTAAAGCTCACAAGAGTCAATGTTGTGTAATTTAGGACATTTAAAGCTGCCCTTTGCAACTTCTCTGATTAGACTGCCACTTGCTCGTCTCCATGGAGATATTATTTCTTTGCAAGGAATATCAAGTGCGCCATTAAACTCAAAAGCATGCGATGTTATGTTATTAGGTTCTTTTTTCAGACCAAGAGTTTGTGTTCATCCCTGATAGTTTCGACTGCTCCCTGCGTTCTTCTTGTTCGAGTCTCGTGATGTTGTTGTGACGTGTCGCTCAGATGATTTAAACAGGTTTTGGTGCCGTCTTCCTACTGGTGAAGGCAATACGACAGCACCATCTGCAGTCCCACTTCCTCAGGACAGTAACCCAAGTGTGTGAGAGTAAAAAGACCCCTCGTCCCGATTTATAAACCCATGGGCATGCAACATCACGTGACCACTCTGAGGAAGAGTGCTAGTGAGCAGTCCAAACTGTCAGGTATGAAAACAAACTCTTGGTCTGAAAAAAGACAAGGAAAAAATTATCTGAAGACCAAATGAACCTCATTGGACTAGCATGAAATGTTACTGTGAGCGGGGTCACCTCACCACAGATCTGACCTGTAAGTTGGCCTGGTGGTGCCGAATCAAAATCACAACTATAGATGCATCAAGAATCTCGGACTTCCGGTCATTGCGCAATACATTCTGGGAAGGATTTTCTAAAAAAGTGAGCATCAAACCTCCATGTTTGTTTTCCCAGTGGAATGTGTCTATTGACAAGGCCGATCTTTTCAAGTCTTTTGAACCATATCACTTTTGTTTCTTTTTGTTTCATTTTTTTCAATTCCGTTGGAAGGGAAACAGTTTGAACAGAGGTTTTGCAGTCACACACATCTGATTCCCGTTTGCAGTTATGGAGTTCGCAAACACATTTCTCGAGCCATTTTCTGCTGTTAGGATCCAACAACCACACAATTACGATGTCCGAATCCCAAAACTAAAATATGACAATATCAGAACCAGAAACAAAAGCGATAGGGTTCAAAAGACTGGCTTTGACAATAGACTTATCCCACTGGGAAAACAAACATGGAAGTTTGATGCTAAATTTTTCAGAAAATCCTTCCCAGTATGCATTGCACAATGACCGGAAGTCTGAAATTCTTGATGTGTGTATGATTTATTAGAAGCAAAAGCTGTAATTTTTTTTGTACTATAATTTTACTATAAGTTCCTCCACAAACAACAAAATCTCTTGTCTTATTCTGTCTTATCCTGTAGTTTAGATCTGTACAAACATGTTCTGAAATGAGATCCTTCTATTAGTTTTTGTCAGTTCAGATTTCAGTCTTCTTGTCAATTCTTCTAGATTTGAACATGTTTAAAATGTGAACTTTGAACAGAATTCTATTATGAAAACATGAATCGCAAATCTAACACAATACTTGTCTGAAAAACACAATTAGATATGTTTCCTAAACCGAGCAGCTCTAACTCGATATGATTTCACTCTGTTGCACATTGGTTTCCCAGTGTTCACCATGGCAGATCGCATTTCCTTTAACATGGCCTACTGTTGTTCAGCTCGGAGAGAGTGGTGCTCTGGAGTCTTCTCTGGCCCGTCTCCAGAGCGGAGGAGGTGGGCGGCTCGGATCTGGGTTAAAGTCGATTCAGTTTGAGGCTCAGTCACAAATGGATGTTACAGTGATCTGGTTTCGAGGGCCTGTAGTCTGCTGCCTGTTTTGTGGGTTTTAAACTGTTGTAATGTTGTTTGTTAATCCAGAATAGAGCTTTTTTTTTTCAATATCTGTATCATTGCTCTGCCTGGAATGTTCCACAGACATTAAACAGTTTTACTTTACATTTATTCAATTACAGGTGGTTTTAAAGCTCAAAAATACCTAGAAAAACAGACATTGTGACTGTGAGCGCGGTCTCCTCTCCACAAACCTGACCTGTAACTTGGTCTGGTTTGGTCTTCATGAAGATAGAAAGGTTTAATGCCATACTGAAACATTCAAGACAAAACAATAACATCTCCAGCAGGAAAAACATTTGACGAACCATCCACCATAAAAGTTACACAATGCACCTTGAACGATGTATACTGACCCCGGGGTGAACATAGCGCTATAGTAAAGTGACCCCCCCATAGGATTTGGACTCCCCTTACTTTCTTCTTTAGTAGTTACTTATCTGATCATTATTTCTCATGTCATTTACTTTTATTATATATTGCTACATATTCACTTTCTTTTAAGGTATTTTAAGGGATGTTTTGATGGAGAACAACTTGCTATTTTGTGTAAATGTAACGTATTGTTAAAATTGCATATACACAGCAATCTTGTCACTTTTATATTGTATTTTACATTGTTCTGGTTTTTAATTTGCTCTGTTCAGATAATCCTTAATCATAATGTCAATTTAGGCAATGGTTTGTAAGAATAATGATCTTGAATTTAGTTATGTTAACACACTGATTAACACAATATCTAATAAAGCAGAGTCCAGAGTAAGTAATCCAAGTGACAAGAACTGTATGCAGACTTAAGTGATAGGAAATTGACCTCCCATGGACGGACATTTATATCCCACCATGACCATAATTGCAATTAAACTGATCTATTCATAGCATAAAGAAGCCCAAATAAATCTATTGTAAGACTTAAAAAGATCATTTAAACACATTTTTAATTGTATGTAATTTAAATATGTAATTTTAAGTGAAGTTATTGATTACAGAAACCATTTAACAAATCTTCTCCTATCATCTATTTAACTTCTCTATTGATCTTTAGCAAAACTTCTCATATCCCCCATTTAACTACTCAACTGATCAGCCCTGTCTATTTGAACAAGAATCCAAATCATTATACATCACTTTGATGACCTAACTCATTAATAACTACTTATCTCATTTTCAGTCAAATATGTGTTTAAACAACTAAGTAGTTTTTAACATTCAAAGGTTTATAATCGACATGAAAAATACATCTGAGTTCTTCAAAAAACACTTTTAAATATGTCAATATGTTTTAATTTGTAGATATAGTATTAATATTCAAAGTTTTTCTATAGAATTCAAGTTCTTTATTAATAAAATATAGATTTTCATAGGGGGGTCAATATTCTATAGGGAGGGTCAACATACCATGGATTCTGACACCTCACTGCAGGGTCAAAATACTAAACCACACCAGCTTCTCGATACTGGTT